ATATTTGAACCAGAAACAGAATCTGAGTCATTATTAGTTTTTAGAGTTGAATCCTTGGTCACTGGAATTTGCTAGTGGTCTCCTGGCTCTGTTAGGACCATGATTTTTTTTTTTGTGTGTGTGTGTGTGATGTGTGTGGGAATTTTCCTTATTTTGATAACAGGGAAAACAATATTTGATGATATTTTCTATGAAGATTGTTAGGGCTAAATCAAGGGATGGGAGGGTGTTTCTATCCAGCTCATCTTAGAGTTTGCTGAGGGAGTAGTTTGTGGAAAGAAAAAATCTTTATAGTATTAGAGACTACAAATTCATCTTTTTTCGCTAACAGTTTTCTAAATAAGGGTGAGAAGGCTGCAGTAAGTGGGACAGAGTCCTGGACACTGAATGTCCCGGATGTAGCCAGGTCTCATCTCTTGTGCATTTTTTTTCTTTTTGGACCTGGGGATTGAACTCAGGGCCTTGTACCTGCTAGGCAAGTGCACTACTACCACTGAGCTACATTCCCAGCCTGTACTTCACTTCAGAGGATCACTATTTTTAGTACTTCATGGAGTTCAGGCAATAACTTGAAATAAATAGTTTCTCTGTTTCTCACCCTCTCAATGGAGAAAATAAGAATGATATGCAGCTCACTGAAATGTACATCTTCGCATACCACAGATTTAAGGGTTGAGATTCAGACATTTATTTTTTCACAGCAAGTTCAGGGTCATCTCCAAATAGTCAGGCACCATTTGAGCAGATCTGTAGACCTCTCATGAGCACTGAAAGGTGGGGCTGAGGGAGTTCTCTGTAATGTTTCCACCTACTTATGAAATAAATAACCCATCTTGGAGAGGCTGTGGGATTATCCAAAGAGACAACAGACTATTCTGTGGATAACGATCTTGGTTGGATGATGCCATGGTCATGGTCTAGAGGGAGCTAGTGTTAAGATGCAGGTTCTTTTCAGGAGTGAAGATACAAAACAGGTTTTGTTTTAGGATTCACTTTTATGAATATGAATATGAATGCTAATTACTTTGGAGGAAAAATTTAGTAGGGCTGAGTATTGTAGAAGGGGCACAGGGATTAATAGTAGAAAGCTCAGGTCTCTACTTGTGCTTCATTCTTGTTACATGCCCAGGGCTATAAAACACACCAGAAAAACAACTAGCTTTGGAGCAGCCATTCCTGAGTTTGTTTTTGAGGTCTGTAGAGTTTGATCTGTAATTCATCGCAAACATCCCTGGGTTCAGTCCCCAGCAACACACACACACACACACACACACACACACACACACACACACAATCATCTTCCACGGCTATCACAGGGTTGAAGCATGATTCCTTGAAGATCAGTCATGCAACAAACTACCAAAATAGTTATTTTAGAAGATCTAGAAAACAGTGCTGAAAAAAATGGATAAACAAATTAAAATACCCTCAAATCTCAACATGCTTAGATAACCACAGATTACATTTTGGTATCTTTTCACATTACAGAAGGATATTATCTCCACACTGATTTCCACAGTGGTTTCACCAGTCTATACTCCCACCAACAGTGGAGAAGAGTTCCTTTTCCTCCACAGCCTCGCCAGCATTTGTTATTGGTTGATTTCTTGATGA